AAAAAAAAAAAAAAAAAAAAAAAAAAAATGAAAAGAGCACCCTCCTATAAATCTGCTTAGAAGTAGTTTCCCATAGATACAAGTATTGCACACTGCACCCTCTTCACTGCGCACGGCCCGCCTTTAAGCCTCGGTGACCTAATGGGGGTGGACCCCTTACTGCACACGGCCCTTGCCTTCATGGGAACGGGCCCCTTCCTGCGTGCTGTCCACCTCCTGGCCTAGGTAACCTAATGGGGGTGAACCCTATGTTTTATTGCTCACGACCCTATCACTATCCTTAAAGATGATTTCACTCACTGCCTTGCCCCCTAACGTAAACACGATAAATACTCATGCTTCTGGACATTCAGGGGCTCGCCTCGCCAGCCTCGTCTGACTCTGCTCATAGGTGGTGTGGCCCCCCGAGCCCAGCTGCATTTTCTTTGTGCTTCTGTGTCCTGTCTCTTTATTTCTCGGATCCTGCGCCTCAGCACAGCATAAGGCTAACCCCCCCTACAACGTCCCTGTGGGGCACTCAGCCCTTCATCTGGCTCCCAGCGTGCCCTACAATCTCCTCTTAACCTAACTCCAGATACCTGGCCTTATGAGGACACCTCAGCTGAACAATCAGTGCTGGTTAAGGATCTAACCTCTCCTGCTCTACAGCCTTAGTGGAAAGGCCCCTACCTGACTGTCTACAGTACCCCAACTGCTGTCCATCTACAAGACCCTCCCCACCGGGTTCACTGGTTCAGGATCAAACTGTGTCCATCATATGACCAGCCTAGCCCACCCACCTCCCCTTGGAAGTCACAAGTACTCTCTCCTACTTCTCTTAAGCTAACTCGAATTCCTGAAGAGTAGACACCACCACACGAGTTTAGAGTATATTCTAACATTGACAGGAATTCTTCTCTTAACTTTGCTATTTACAAAGGACTGTATGCAGTCACCCCTAAAACTAGGTCTACACTGCACAAGCTCTCTATTTCTGTTGCTTTCCATCTAATCATACTTCTAATTGTCCTTCTCATCTATATTCATTTATTTTTGAGACGGAGTTTAGCTCTTGTTACCCAGGCTGGAGTGCAATGGCACGATCTCGGCTCACCGCAACCTCTGCCTCTCGAGTCCAAGCGATTTTCCTGCCTCAGCCTTCCAAGTAGCTGGGACTACAGGCGTGTGCCACCACCCTCGGCTAATTTTCTATTTTTAGTGGAGACAGGGTTTCATCATGTTGGTCCAGCCGGTCTCAAACTTCTGACCTCAACTGAGCTACCTAGCTAGGCCTCTCAAGAAGTGTTGGGCCGGGCGCGGTGGCTCACGCCTATAATCCCAGCACTTTGGGAGGCCGAGGCGGGTGGATCACAAGGTCAAGAGATCGAGACCGTCCTGGTCAACATGGTGAAACCCCGTCTCTACCAAAAATACAAAAATTAGCTGGGCATGGTGGTGCATGCCTGTAGTCCCAGCTACTCGGGAGGCTGAGGCAGGAGAATTGCCTGAACCCAGGAGATGGAGGTTGCGGTGAGCCGAGATCGCGCCATTGCACTCCAGCCTGGGTAACAAGAGCGAAACTCCGTCTCAAAAAAAAAAAAAAAAAAAAGAAGTGTTGGGATAACAGGCGTAAGCCACAGCACCCGGCTCCTCTCCCGCTTTCTTTTCTTTATTTTCATTTTTGCTGTCTCTTGACAAATCCCTCATCCATCCTCTACTTTGCCATCTGTTATGGGTCTTTCTCGTTCTTCTTTTCTCTGTCTCAGGTTTTCTACCAGTCTCTGTCTCCTGATCCCTTTGGCCCACACAACAATCACAGGAGTGTTAGGAGTCGGACGCCTGCATCCTGGAGGAGCGCATTTTCCAGGGACTGGAGCTGGGCAGGCCACCAGGAGGGAGGTGTGGGGGCGACGGCGCCTTAAGACAAGGGTGGGGGTCTGCAGGACCCCAGGACCAGGCAGAGGGCCGCAGCGCTGCGCTCCAGGGGCCGACAAGGGCGAAGGCGGTAGGTACACCGGGACGAGCATCCACCTCTCGGGTGAGAACTTCAAAAAGCGTGGGGCAGGAAGACTCAGAAAAAGGTTCTGAGCAGGAAAACTACACAATAGGAAGTCTACAGACTTTATAAAGTGTTTTATATAAACGCTTTATAAAGTGTCCTATAGCAGAAAGACCGGGAACGGAACCAGCCTCAATGCGACTTTCAAACCAAAAATAAGCGACCCCCGGACTCTCACGGCGCGTCTCAATTTGCTCCGGGTGAAAATACGGGCGACAATTTTCAGGTCTGTTGGGACCCCACAACCCAGGTACAGAAGAGCCAGGGGACCTGGGAAGCGCAGACTTAATACCAGACAGAGGAAAACTTACCCGCCGCGGTGGGACCTTCACTTCGCGCGACCTGCTTCCGGGTTTGCGAAATCCCGCAGGAAGGAAGCCAGGCCTGGGCGAGACCCTCGAGGGGGTGGGCGGGGCCTGGGCGAGACCCTCGAGGGGGTGGGCGGGGCCTGGGCGAGACCCTCGCGGGGTGGGCGGGGCCTGGGTGAAGTAGGGGCGGGGCGCGAGGCGGAGAGACCTCGCCCTTTAGCACCGGCAGAGGGTGGGGCCGGGACCTGTGCATCTCTCAGCCTGGTTCTCAGCGTTTCTTTTTCAGGTTTTGGAGGCGAAACGGACCGGGAAGGCTAAGACATAATTCAACAGCCGTGGAATTTTTTTTTTTTTTTTTTTACGATTCCTGGAAGCAGCAAAGTAACCCTCCCCCCGGCCTGGCTTTCTTCCTTTTTTTCTTAAATCTTTTTTTTTTTTTTTTTTTTTTTTTATGGTAGGGTTTCACCATCAAGGCCAGGCTGGTCTTGAACTCCTGACCTCTGGTGATCCACCCACCTCGGCCTCCCAAAGTGGTAGGATTACAGGCGTGAGCCACAGCGCCCGGCCTCTAAAACCTTTTTAGACAAAATTTTTGATGGCGTGACATAGGGATCCAACATTATTCTTTCCCATGTGGATATCCAGTTACTTGCTTCACCACATTTGTGGAAGAGATCTACTACTTTCTCTTTTGTATTTACTTTTTTGTTTTACCTTTTTTTTTTTTTTTTTTTTTTTGAGATAAACTATTTCTCTATCACCCAGGCTAAAGTGTAGTGGTGAGATATCGGCTCACTGCAGCCTCTGCCTCCTGGGCTGAAGCAGTTCTCCTCCCTCAGCGTCCAGGTTGGCTGGCATTCAGGCCTTCACCACCATGGCCGGCTAATTTTTGTATTTTTGGTAGAGAAGGAGTTTCACCATGTTGGCCAGGCTGGTCTCGAATTTCTGACTTCGACTGACCCACCTGCTTTGGCCTCCCAAAAGGCTGGGCTTACAGCCTGAGCCACAGTGTCTGGCCCAAGAAACACTCTATTTCACTTAGTAAATGTTGAGAAAATATAATTGAAAACAAAAAAAATATTTCCCGAAATGAGAAATCATCTCCACTACAATAAGACAGAAAGAAATAAAAACCATTTTATTAATAAATAAGCCTTAGACCAGAATGTGATGGGAAATAGAGGCAAACAGCTAAGATATTGAAAAGAGATGCCAGATGCAGTGGCTCATGCCCGTAATCCCAGCACTTTGGGAGACCGATGCAGGCAGATCACCTGAGGTCATGAGGCCGAACCAGCCTGACCAACAAGGAGAAACTCCGTCTCTACTAAAAACACAAAATTAGCTGGTTGTGGTGGCACATGGCTGTGATCCCAGCTACTCGGGAGGTTGAGAGAAGAGAATCGGTTGAACCAGGGAGGCAGAGGTTGCAGTGAGCTGAGATTCCCCCTACTGCACTCCAGCCTGGGCAACAAGAGCAAAACTTCCTCTCCAAAAAAAAAAAAAAAAAAAAAAGAGTGAGAGAAAGAGACTTCACTGTTCTTTACAATCAATTAACTACATGTTTTCAAGGACAAACACTAATCAGTCCTCAGGTAAGAGGACTTGACAACACCCTTGGTCACACATGTTCATCCTGGCTCTACTTGGTAATGGATAGAGTGACCATCTGTGTCGGCTCATTAGCTTCATCCCGAGAAAGGGGAACAAATTTTAACCCATGTCTTTTTGAAAAGTGTGAGTTTCACAACATGGTGACAGGCACCCTCTCTGGTGAGGCTCCTACAATCTGACAGAAATTGATCTCAGCAGTAAATAATAAAATTTAGAAGATATGATTAAGTGTAGAGTTCATGTGAACACTAAGCTTGAAGATAGCCACCTGGAAACTCCAAATGAATGGGATGAGTCTTCCAAATTAGAGACCTTAAGGTTTCACACACATAGGTAAAGACGGAGAAGTTTCTGCAGAATCACCACATTTCCATTCAAGACCAGTGCATAGGTTGTGGCAACGTGATTGGTCACACATTGATACACTTCAAGGGAGGTTAGTATATCACTCCACAAGAAGGAACAATGATCTGAGGAAGTTCTCATCTCTGGGACTGTTTAGTCTTCCTAAATATTCACAGGAAAACTCTTAGAAGTTGTGTTGCGTATCACTGCACTCAGGTTGCATGAGCACATTCCTCTCAAGGCCCAGAATTATTTAAAGTTCCATAGCTTTAAATTGGAGTTATTTGATGATGGAATTATTTAATTTCCTATTGAGATACAGTACTATCTCCCTGTTTGCCTTCCAAAGAGCACTCATAAGTCCATCAGAATTATGTCCCTGTGTCATTAAGCTGAAAAATAATGTAGTCTGTTAAAAATACCACTTCAGGCCGGGCACAGTAGCTCTCACCTGTAATCTGAGCACTTTGGGCGGCCGAGGCGGGTGGATCACCTGAGGTCGGGAGTTTGAGACCAGCCTGACCAACATGGAGAAACCCCATGTCTACCTAAAATCCAAAATGAGCCGAACGTGGTGGTGTATGCCTGTAATCCCAGCTACTCAGGAGGCTAAAGCAGGAGAATTGGTTGAACCTAACAGACAGAGGTTACAGTGACCTGAGACCATGCCATTTATTTGCTTGTTTAAGACAGGGTCTAGCTCTGTCATGAAGGCTACAGTGTGGTGGTTAGGTCAGGCCTCACTGCAGCCTCCAGCTTCCTGGTTCAAGTGATCCTCCTACTTCAGCGCCCTGAGTAGCTGGGGCCACAGGTGTGCACCACCACACCTGGCTGATTTTTTTGATTTTTTAGTAGAGACAAGGTCTTACTTTGTCGCCCAGGCTGATCTCGAACTCCCTGGCTCAAGCAATCCTCCTGCCTCAGCCTCTCAAAGTGCTGGGATTACAGGTGTGAGCCACCACTGCAAGCCCTGACTTTATTTCCATGAAATATGAGATTGTCCTTTGCCTCCTGTGTGTAAAAGGCAGTTCTGCGTGTCATCTTTCAGTTTCCATTATCCACTCAAACAAGTCAGGGCCTTGCTTATTTTAATAAGCCATTTTAATTATCAGTCCCCGCTGCCTCTGCCCCAAACTAAGGGGAGATCACCTGGCCTGCAGGACACATGACTCGACCCGCTCAAATAAGATGCTTTGCATGAAAACCATTTTCAACTTAAGAGTAAAAACGATTCTGAGTTCAATATAGATGGCCCACTACAATGTTGTTTATTTATTTTGAGACGGAGCCTCCCTCTGTCACTCAGGCTAGGCTGCAGTGGTGCAATCTTGGCTCACTGCAACCTCAGCCTCCTGGGTTCAAGTGATTCTCCTTGCCTCAGCCTCCCAAGTAGCTGGGATTACAGGCACCCGCCACTACGCTAGGCTGTTTTGTATTTTTAGTAGAGACGAGGTTTCACCATCTTGGCCAGACTAGTCTTGAATTCTTGACCTCGTGATCCACCCGCCTCGGCCTCCGAAAGTGCTGGGATTACAGGTGTGAGCCACTGCACCCTGCCAACAATGTTATTTTACCTTCGATTGTTTGAAATACTAACTTAAAACGGACAGGAAGCATCCCTATGATATTAGGGGTAATATTACGGCACATCAGAAACAATCCACCAATCAGTACACGGAGGATGCAGACCTGAGGGCAAGAGGATGGCAGCAGGACCTTCCGGCCCCAGCTGAGGAGAGAACCTGGACCCTCCCGCTTTAGAACAGCACCCTTTCCAGACCCCACCCTTAAGATGACCATAGTCCTCTGGCCTCACCTTTTTACACTCCCTGGCCAGGCTGCCAGACAGCCTCCTCCTCCTTGGCCTCGAAAATGCTGGGATTACAGGCCTGAGCCACTGTATGTGGTCTCATCATAAATTTGATGATTCTTCTTGCTTTAATTTTAGCAGAATTCATATTGCTTTGATAGAGTCTGTTTTCGAACTCGTGTTTGAAAGGGCTTCAAACTGTTCAGACATGCCTGTTCAGACATGTTATAACAGATTTGTACCAGTTTATATTAGTGCAAAAAAAGTGTCAAATTAATACACAATTTTCTCATAATGCATATTTTTTCATGAGCTTCTTGAAGACCACTTGTACTAGAAAACTGTATTCAAGAGTATACAAAAAGGATTGCAGATAACCCAGTGCCACCTAGTTCTAGGATGCAAGGATGGTTCAACATATTCAAGCAAATTTATGTGATACACCACTTGAACAGAATGAAAGATGAAAACCACATCAACTCAACAGATGGGGAAAAAGCATTTCACAAAACTCAACATCCAATCATCATAGAAATCCTAAACAAAATAGAGAAGAAAATTTACCTCAGCAATACAAAGACCATCCATGAAATGACCATAGCTGAAATAACCAATCAGGGAAAAGGAAATGCTTTTCCTGAAGGATCTCACATGATGCAAGAATGCTCTCACCCCTTCTATTCAATAAATACTGGCTGTCCTAGCCAGAGCAAGTAAAAAGCCAAATAAAACTCATCCAAATCAGGAAGAAAAAAGTAAAATTATATTTGTTTGTAGATGACATACTCTTCTGTATGGAAAATCACAAAGAGTCAACCAAAATACTGCTGGAACTAATAAACACATTCAGAGTATTCGCAGAAAAAAATAATCAGCATTAAAAATTAGCTGAATTTCCATAAATTAACAACAAACAATTTTTTTTTTTTTTTTTTTTGAGACGGAGTTTCACTCATGTTACCCAGGCTGGAGTGCAATGGCGTGATCTCGGCTCACCGCAACCTCTGTCTCCTGGGTTCAGGCAATTCTCCTGCCTCAGCCTCCTGAGTAGCTGGGATTACAGGCACGCGCCACCATGCCCAGCTAATGTTTTGTATTTTTAGTAGAGACGGGGTTTCACCATGTTGGCCAGGATGGTCTCGATCTCTTGACCTCGTGATCCACCTGCCTCGGCCTCCCAAAGTGCTGGGATTACAGGCTTGAGCCACCGTGCCCGGCCAACAACAAACTATTTTAAAAGAAAATTTAAAAACACACCCATTTCCCAGTGGACTTAAAGTAAGAAATACTTAGGAATAAATGTAAAAAGGTGAGAAGTTTGTACCTTGAAATCTACAAACATTGATCAAAATGATTAAAAACATATACAGGTATTGATCTACTTACAACCAATGCAATTTACGACCATTCAACTTTACGACCACAATCGCTAGCCACGACTGCTCCATGTCTGGCAGCGCAAACATTGCCCAGCTGGGCCTACGACAGTGCGGACCAGCTTCCGGCAGCAATACCATCTCCGCATGCACCATTTCAACTGTTATCCCAGACTCGGTACAGCAATTTGTGTTTTGTGTCTTGGATATTTTTCATCAAACCCCTCCCAATAAACTTCTTATACATTTCGAAGCAATGGACCCAAACATCGAACGATTTGCAAGGATTGAACGGATGGTGCACGATGTGTTTCCTCTGTACCGTGAAATTTATGAAGAAAAAAAGAAACATACAATTCAGACAAAGCTCACCATGTTTATGAAAAAACCAACTCCGGTAACCCCAACTGCTGCCTCAGATGGCAACATCAACGATCCGCAGCCAAGCACCAGCGGCCAATAAAATGTTTCGTACATGTTTATATATTTTGATATGTTTTGCAATTCGGAAAATGTTCCCATGGTATTTTTTACACCTTTATTTTGTATTTTTGTATGCACCTGTATTTTGTAATTTTGTATATTCTGCAAATATTAAACCAGTTGTACTGGTAATGCAGTGTTTTACTCAAACCTGACGAATGTAAAAATAAGAAACAAAATGGTGTAGAGATGATACAAATGGCATAAAATGAACAAAGAAAATTATGATATATAAAAATAATGAAAGAAAATTATGATAAAATATGACTTAAAGATTTTTATAACATCATTTCACAGTACTGTACATATAGCCTACTCAACTTACGACCAAATCGTGTTACGACCGGTCTGTCGGAACCAATCGTGGTCGTAAGTCGAGCACTAGCTGTATAGAGATACAACCCATATTGATGGATTAATATTGTTAAATGATTATATAACCCAATGTGATTTAAATTCAACACAATACGCATAAAAATTCCAATCAGTTTATGTTAAAGAAACAATAAACAGGCTGGAAAAAAGTGTCTGAAGTCTGTTGGCCAGGCTGGTATCAAACTGCTGACCTCAAGTATCTATCCAGCTTGGCTTCCCAAAGAGCTGGGATTACAGACATAAACCACCACACCTGGCTCAATCTTCTTAACATAAACACTTTAATGTCAATTAATGCTTGAACTCCATGTTAAGTCAACTCAAAATCAAGTCAATGCTAAATTGACTCTAATGTTAATTAATGCTTGATGGTTTGCTATATTCACTGCATTTGCAGCAATTATCTCAAAAATGAATTTTCTGATGTTTTGCAATCCCCTTGCCACACATATGACATTTGTTAAGATTTCTGTCCTGGGCTGGGTGAGGTGGCTCACACCTGTAATCCCAGTACTTTGGGGGGCCTACGCGGGTGGATCACCTGATGTCCGGAGTTCAAGACCAGCCTGACCAACATGGTGAAACCCTGTCTTTATAAAAAAAAAAAAAAAAAAAAAACCACAGAAATTAGCCGGGCTTGGTGGCGCATCCTCATAATCCCAGCTACTCAAGAGACTGAGGCAGGAGAATTGCTTGAAGATGGAGGTTGCAGTGAGGCGAGGTCACACCATTGCACTCCAGCCAGGGCGACAGTGAGACTCCCTCTCAAAAAAAAAAAAAAAAAAAAAAAAGCCGGGCGCGGGGGCTCAAGCCTGTAATCCCAGCTTTCTGGGGGGAAGAGGCAGGATAGCTTTAAGCCCAGGGTTTCAAGACCTGCCTGGGCAATATAGTAAGGCCACCATCCTCCACAAAAAGGAAAAAAATTTCAAGACCAAAAAAAAAAAAGTATTTCTGTCCAGTCTGGATTCTCTAATGTCTAATGATGTGTGAACGTGAATTAAAGGCTTTGCCACAATCATCACACTTGTGAGGTTTCTTTCCTGTATAAATTCTCCTATGTTTCGCATAAGTCATCATGCCCAGTTGTTCTTTTCCTTTTTTTTCTTGAGATGGAGTCTTGCTTTGTTGCCCAGGCTAGAGTGCAGTAGCGCGATCTCAGCTCACTGCAGCCTCCGCCTCTTGGGTTCAACCAAAATTCTCCTGCCTCAGCCGCCCGACTAGCTGAGATTACAGGAATCAGTCACCATGCCTGGCTAATGTTTGTATTCTTAGTAGAGACGGGGTTTCACCACGTTGGCCAAGCTGGTCTGGAACTCTTGACTTCCTGATCTGCCTACCTCCACCACGTAATTACAGGCGTGAGCCACCGCGCCCGCCCCTCATTCTTCTTTTCTATCTCAGATTGGGTTTTTCTTTTCTTTTCAGTTTTTTTTCTATTCTTTTCTTTTTTTTTATTTTTTTTGGAGAGGGATTCTGGCTCCCTCCTCCAGGCGCCAGTGCAGTGGCAGGAGCACGACTCAAGGCATCCTCTACATTCTGGACTCAGCCAATCCTCCAGCTTCGACCTTTCAGGTAGCTGGGACCACAGGTGCGCGAAACCATGCCTGGGTAACTTTAAAAAAAAAAAAAAAAAAAATTTCCGCGGGGCGCGCTGGCTCACACCTGTAATCCCAGGATTTTAGGAGGCCGAGGCGGGCGGATCATGAGGTCAGGAGCTCGAGACCATCCTGTCCAACATGGTGAAATCCGGCATTTAAAAACAAAACAAGGCCGGGCGTGATGGCTCACGCCTGTAATCCATGCACTTGGGAGGCCAAGGCGGGTGGATCACCTGAGGTCGGGAGTTCAAGACCAGCCTGACCAACATGGTGAAACCCCATCTTAAAAATAAATAAATACAAAACAAAACGAAAACAAAAAACACTTTATCTAAGGATGTGATTTCGCCATGTTGCCCAGGCTGGTTTCAAACTCCTGGGCTCAAACGATTCTACCACCTGTCTCCTAAAGTGCTAGGATTTCTGACGTGAGCCACGGCACCAAGCATTCTGCCTCAGTTTTTCTACTTCTTTTTTTTTTTTTTTTTTTTTAATTTTTTTTAAAGACGGGTTTCACCATGTTGGTCAGGCTGGTCTTGAACTCCCGACCTCACGTGATCCACCCGCCTTGGCCTCCAAAGTGCTTGGATTACAGGCATGAGCCACCACGCCCGGCCGAGTTTTTCTACTTCTTTCTCAGTCACTGGGTCTCTCTTTCTACTGACCCTTTTGGCCCACACACTCACCGGAAGGGGATGGAGTAAGATGGCTGCCTCCAGGAAGACCGTGTTTTGCAGGGGTTGGAACTGGGGAGCAGCAGGGCCTGGCATGAGGAGGAGGGAGGTGGAGCATGGCGCCCTAGGGCAGCGGCGGGGTCTGCAGGACCCCACGACCAGGCAGAGGTCGCAGTCTCCCGGGGACTGGGGATGTCTGTCCTGCGCTCCAGGGGCCGACGAGAAAAAGGCCGGGAGAAGCCCAGGGCGGGAATCCACGCCAGGTGTGAGGACTTAAAAAAGCCAGGGGCGGGAGGAGGCGTCAGGAAACAATTTTGAGCAGGAAAACTACGTGATAGAAAGCGTCTACATGGTTCTACAGCAGAAAGACTGGGGACGGGACCAGCCTCAGACTGACCTTAAACCCAAAAGGAAGCTGGACGTGGTGGCTCACGTCTGTAATCCCAGCACTTTGGAAGGCCGAGGCGGGTGGATCAAGAGGTCAGGAGTTCAAGACCTGCCTGACCAAGATGATGAAACCCCGTCTCTACTAAAAACTACAAAAATTGGCTTGACTAGTGACAGAAAAATAGGTGTGGTGGCATGCACCTGTAATTTCAGCTACTCGGGAGGCCGAGGCAGGAGAATCGCTTGAACCTGGGTGACAGAGGTCGCAGTGCACCCCAGCCTAGGCGATAGAGTGAGGCTGTCTCAAAAAACAAACCCAACAAGGAGCAGACCTCCGGACTCTTAACAGGGACGTCCCAATTTGCTCTGGGTGGGAGAAGGGGGACGGGGGCCTGCGAAAGGCCGACTTACTAGAGACAGAGTGACTCACGCGCTGCAGACTGTAACCCTCAGTGAGATGCGCTTCCGCTTCTGCACGAATCTGCCTTCACAGGACAGAAGCCAAGCGTCGAGGAACCCTAAGGAGGTGGGCGGTGCCTGGGCGAGGCAGGGCGGGGCGTGAAAAGCAAGGGGCGTGGCGTGGGGTTGATAAGCAGCCTGGGACCCCCAGAGGCGGGGCAGGGCGAGACTGGGCAGGGAGTACAATTTGCTCTGCCTGGCTCCCAGGCCTCTGTTTTTCAGTTTATTTTATTTTGTTTTTTGAGATAGAGTCTCGCTCTGTCACACAGGATGCCCTGGTTCAAGCAATTCCCCTGCTTCAGCCTCCCGAATAGGTAGGATTATAGGCGCATGCCACCACAACTTTTTTTTTTTTTTTTTTGCATTTTTAGTAGAGACAGGGTTTCACCATGTTGGTCAGGCTGGTCTCAAACTCCTGACCCGCCTCGGTTTCCCAAAGTGCTGGGATTACAGGCGTGAGCCACCGTGGACTGCCTGTTTTTCTGTTTTTAAAGGTGAGATTCGCCCGGGACACTGAAGCATAATTCAAAAGCCCTGAAATTGTCTGGAACAGAGATGCAAACTAGAATGTAAAATGCAAAGCTCCCTCTAGGCATTCTTCCTTATTCCCACCTCAACTGACAGGGCAATTGGACTTTGTAACTGACTTTGTCAAATTCATGACTACACACCTTACAACCTCCTCCCAGCTTGCAAAAACCGCCCTAAACTGTAACTTCTGGAATTTTGCACGCCTATTCCAAACCTATAAAACCACCTCCTAACCCACCGCCCTCTGCTTTCTTTGCGGACTCAGCCCAGGCTCACCCAGGTTAATAAACAGCCATATTACTCACAAAGCCTGCTTGGAGCGGGCGCGTGGGGGGGGGGGTGTCTCTTCACTCAGAGCGCGTGTTTTAGCAATGGTGAAAACCTGTCTCATCTAAAAATATAGAAATTAGCTGGGCTTGGTGGCGCATGCCTATAATGCCAGCTCCTCAGGAGCCTGAGGCAGGAGATGAACTTAACCAGAGACGCGGAGATTGCAGTGAGCTAAGTTTAGGCCACTGCACTCCAGCCTGGGTGACAGAGCGAGAGACACTCTATCTCAAAAAAAAAAAAAAAATTGGAATTATTTGCGTTTTTTCTTTTTTTTGAGATGTAATTTCACTCGTTACCCAGGTTAGTGTGCAATGGCACAATCTCCACTCAATGCAACATTTGCCTCCTGGGTTCAAGCAATTCTCCTGCCTCAGCCTCCAAAGTCACTGGAATAACAGGCATGCGCCACCACACCAGACTAATTTTTTGTATCTAGTAGACATGGGCTTTTATTATGTTGGTCACACTGGTCTCGAACTCCTGACCACAGGTGATCCACCTACCTCAGCCTCCCAAAGAACTGAAATTATAGGCGTGAGCCACCACGCCCTGCCTAATTTTGAATTACTTAATTTACCACTGAGATAGAGGTACTAAGTTTCTTGTTTGCATTTCAAAGACAGAACTCCAAAGTCCTTTAAAAAGATATCCTTACATCACCACTAAACTGAAAAAACATTTAGTGTCTGAAAAGTACCACTTCAGGAGACAGAGAAAATACATTTACAAATGTTCTAAATAAATATCCTGAGAAAAGAGACAAAAGAAATTTTTTCCTTTAATTTCAAAGGAAAAATTATGCCTCTCATTTATTTGCCTGAGACAGGGTCTAGCTCTGTCACCCAAGCTGGAGCGCAGTGGGGAAATCAGGAATCACTGCAGCATTGAATTCCCTGGTTCAAGCCATCCTCCCACTTGAGCAACCTGAGTAGCTGGGACCACAGGTGTGCACCACCACACGTGGCCAATTTTTTTTTTTTTTTTTTTAATTTTTAGCAGAGAGGAGGTTCCCCCTGTTGCCCAGGCTAGTCTTGAAACCCTAGGCTCACGGGAACGACCATCCTCAGCCTCTGACAGCACTGGAATTTCAGGCCTGAGCCACTGCAACTGATTGTATCATATATTTAATGTTTCTCCTTGTTTCA